GAAACTGAGCTCAAAGTAGCGGAAATGTTAAATTTTTGTCGATGTTCAAGAGTAAACAAATGACCTCACACGTCTAATACACGGCAGCTGGTGGGTCTAATATACATTCACAAATGTGATGATGATATTTATACAATTATTACAATATTGCATAACAGTAAATCTTCTATTTTTTGGTTTGAATAAAAATTCATTATGTGAATAAAAAATCAAAATGGAATTCATTTGTAAAGCCTGAAAACATAACTGATGAGCAGAGGAAATCTTAGTTTAGTGCCAGGAATGCCTGCATTGTTTATTCTGGACCCTATTTTGAAATTGGAATATTTTGAACTATGTGTTAAATTGGCTAAATTACCAATTTCCGATCACTTTATTTTGTAGTTGAAACAGTTGACTGGGCAATTTCTTGTGCTCAATCGATAGAATAGAAGTAATACTAGTGAAATAGCTAAGAATTTGGTTGACTGGAATAATGTAATTGGCCTAAAATGGGAGTCAAAGTTGGCAAAATCGCCGATTCTTAAATGTTGCCGACACATCAAAATTCACGAGAGCATAATTTCGTCAATTTTCCATCAAATTTCGTACTTTTTGTTTTATTACCTTCAGAAAAAGATTCTCTACCATTTCATAAGAAAAAATAAAAAAAAATGGCCTCTGAACGCTGAAAGGGTTAAGAAGCAGCTCAGGAAAGTACTAATTGGCAACTCAGATTAATGAAAAATATTAATCACCATATATTTACATTACTCAGGTGTCTTGTAGCTCGATCGCTAGTACACTCAACCCGCACACTGAGGTACGGGATTCGAATCTCCTCCGGTATGACTTGAAAACATTTACCTGGAGTTTACCTGGAGAGAGTTCTGGGGATCAACGCCCCCATGGCCCGGTCTGTGACCAGGCCTCATGGTGGATCAGAGCCTGATCAGTCAGGCTGTTACTGCTGGCTGCACGCAATCCAATGTACGAGCCACAGCCCGGCTGGTCAGGTACCGACTTTAGGTGCTTGTCCATTAGGGACATGTTTCCATAAGACACCTACTGTCCCTGTTCCTGTTTACCCATCAGTTTAAAATGGGTACCTGGGAGTTAGTTGACTGGTGTGGGTCGCATCCTGGGACAAAAATTGACCTAATTTGCCTGAAATGCTCAGCATAACAAGCAGCTTTCTATATTGTAGTACATGTGTATGTATGTCAATGATGTCAGCTAGGCTGCCTGTATACTATGTACATGTACTTGTAGTAAATAAAGATATAATCATCATTATTATTATTATTATTATTATTATTATTATTATTATTATTATTATTATTATTATTATTATTATTATTATTATTACTCATCATAAGTAGCAGCTCAGAAAATTACTAATTGGCAACTCTATATACTGGCATCTACTATTGTTGTTATCATTTTCTCATTGGTAATGGATGAAAATCTTAGTGCTAAAACCAGTTCTCCAAACATTGAGTATCCGTTTGTATCCCAACTGGTGAAGAATTACGAGGAACTAGAGGCACAGTTTGTTAATGGAATAGAAGAGAGCCTCCATAAATCAGGATGGAGAGATGATATGAAGTTTTTGTACCATCTAACACGAGTGTTTAGATTCTCTGAAGAAAAAGGGCACTTTCCTTTGAATAACTTTCAGAAAATTCCAGACATCAGCAATGCGAGATGGAATTCAAGAGCCATTCTAGCTATTCTTGCATTCATTCTTATACCTACAATACGGAAAACTTTGGAGAAGATATGCAGATTTATTTCATACACCTGGGCAGATTACAGTGGACCCTTGGTTATCGGCTGTAATCCATTCCAAAAGCTCAGCCTAAAACTGAAATGGCCGAAAACCGAAATAATATTTCCCATAAGAATTAATGTAAATACAATTAATCCATTCCAGACAAAAATATTCACAAAAAATAATTTTTTTAACAATTAAATCAGTATTACATACCTTTATTGAAGACTACTGGCTTCTGGAATGCCTGCTACACTCCCTGCATGCCCGTTACACTCCTTGCATGCCTGCTACACTTCCTGCATGCCTACTACACTCCTTACATGCCTGCTACACTCCCTGCATGCCTGTTAAACTTCCTGCATGTCTGCTACACTCCCCGCATGCCTGCTACACTTTTCACATGTGCTACACTCCCTGCATGCCTGTTACACTCCCTACATGCCTGTTACACTACTTGCATGCCTGCTACACTTTATGCATGTCTGCTACTCTCCCTGCATGCCTTTTACACTCCCTGCATGCCTGCTACACTTCCTGCATGTCTGTTACACTCCCTGCATGCCTGCTACACTCCCTGCATGCCTGCTACACTTCCAGCATGCCTGCTACACTCCCTGCATGTCTGCTACATGCAGACATGCATGTAGCAGACACTCAAAAATATTAACAAAAAAATAGATTTTTTAAAGATTAAGTATAGTTTTACATACACAAAACAATGAGAACTGAATCAAATAAATACATGAACAGTTAAATCACTATTACATACCTTTATTGAAGACTCTTGTTGACTTATGGAAGATAGGGAGGAGGAGAGAGGGAGTTGGGGTTATTGTTTGGAAAGGGAATCCCCCTTCATAAGGACTTTAGGTAATAAGTCCCTCTTTGGTGTTACTTCCCTTCTTTGTCTTTTAATGCTACTAGGACCAGCTTGAGAGTCACTGAACCCCTGTTGCACAAAGTAACTGTCCAGAGTGCTCTGTTTCTGGTGCATCTTTAAGATTTCCTAAAATGGGACAAGGTTTTATCACTGAACATGTTGCAGATATGGCTTGTTTCAGCTTGGTCAGGGTGATATTTCTCCACAAAAGTTTACAACTCATTCCACTTTGCACACATGTCCTTAATCACTGAAGAATTCACATCCTTTCCTCTCTCTCTCTTCCTCCTCTGCTGAAGCAAGTTCCTCAGCTGTGGCCTGTTGCTGTTCCATGTGAAGGTGTAGCAGCTCTTCAGTGGTTAGCTCTTCCCTGTGGTCCTCCACCCACTCTTCCACATCCTCACCACTCACGTCCAACCCCATGGACTTCCCCAATGCCACAGTAGATTCCACAACAGGCAGAGGGTCAACAGGCTCAGGGTCAGCCTCAAACCCTTCAAAATCCTTCTCGAGGGCACGGTCTGGCCACAATTGTCTCCAAGAAGAGTGCATAATCCTGGAAGTCACTCCCTCCCAAACCTTACCTATAAGGCTAATGCAATGGAGGATATTGAAGTGATTTCTCCAGAACTCTCTTGGGGCCATTTCAGTGTCTGAGGTCACTTCAAAGCACTTTTGAAACACTGCTTTTGTGTAGAGTTTTTTGAAGTTAGAAATGACCTGCTTTTCCACGGGCTGGATGAGAGGAGTGGTATTAGGAGGCAAGAACTTCGCTCTTTTAACTGAAATCCCTAGACAATTGGTTTGCCAAGTTGGGAGGATGTGCAGAGGCATTCTCCATTACTAGGAGGCACTTGAGTGGCAATTTCTTTTCCAGGAGGTATTTTTTTCACCCTCAGACCAAACGCTTCATGGACCCAGTCAATGAAAAGTTGCCTCGTGACCCATGCCTTATGATTAGCTTTCCACATCACACAATTTACTCTTGATGATATTATTTTTCTTGAATACTCTGGGATTTTGTGAGTGATACATGAGTAAAGGCTTCACTTTGAAATCTCCAGTAACATTAGCACAGAACAAAAGAGTTAGCCTGTCTTTCATAGGCTTGTGTCCTGGCATTGCCTTTTCCTCCTCCATGATGTAGGTCCTCTTTGGAATTTTCCTCCAAAAGAGGCCTGTTTCATCACAACTGAACACTTGTTGGGGTTGGAATTCTTCAGCCTCTATGTACCCCTTGAATTCCTGCACAAATTTTTCAGAACCACGTTTGTCAGAATTTGCAGCCTCCCCATGCCTTACAACACTGTGTATGCCACTACGCTTCTTAAATCTCTCAATCCAGCCTCTGCTTGCCTTAAATTCACTAACATCATCACTAGTACCAGGCACTTTCTTTACGAGATCTGCATGCAACTGCCTTGCCTTTTCACAAATGATCATCTCTGAAACACTAACTCCCGCTGTTTTTCCCTGATCCACAACAACAACAACTTCTCCACATCTTCATTTGTTTGTGATCTCTTTTTTGTTAACAGGTTTACTCCTTTTGCCACATCAGCTTCCTTGACTTTTTCTTTCTTTGCCAGGATAGAAGTGATTGTTGATTTGTTTTTGCCATACATCCTGGCAAGTTCCAGCACTCATACACCACTCTAATATTTTTCTGTTACTTCCTTCTTAAATTCCATCGTGTTTCTCACTTTCTTTACCAAAGAAACTTTACTAGAAACTTTCTTGGGGCCTATGGTGACTTATTTCACAGTCGCACTTTATAAAAAACCTCCCAAAACAATGGATTTTAAGTTAATGTTTGGATGAATGTGCGGAGTATATGCTCACTCGCTGACAGACAAAGGGAGACTGACTCACCAAAGCCTGGCGTCCCAGCAGGAGAGATGGGCTAATGCATCTAATATGGCCAATATACGAGGCAACGGCTGAAATATGGAGCAAAATTTCCGCCGAAAAAACGGCCTAAATACAAATTGGCCAATAAAAAAAGCGGCCGAAAAATGACGTTCCACTGTACATGCATGCATGCACACGTACATACATACATACATACATACATACATACATACATACATACATACATACATACATACATACATACATACATACATACATACATACATACATTCCATACCATACCATCATACCATACATTCATACATTACATACATACACTCATACACAACAGTAATTTTGCTGGCTGGTTGTAGAAGCAACAGCTAACCAGATAACATTAATAAGGAAGGTGGCTAGTTGTCTGCTGGATTTCTGAGACATTTCTTATTACTATAATGGAGTATTGTACGTATTTGATACCGAAATCTCATACACCCCTCTCAATATTTGCAGGTTTCCAATGACCTGGGTTTTCTTCATCCAAGTGAGTTTGCCATCATCCACAAGATACTAAGTATTGGGACTCACTACAAGAAGATTACAAATTTTTGTAATACTTATGACATTGTACGAATTAATACAGGTTAGTGTGAAGGGCATTGCATGTATTATTTAGAAAAGCAAATACAAATAGCAAAATGAGCCTTTATCAGTTAATGTTTTTGCTCCAGTGAGTGTCATAGCAACAAGAATGGAACAACACTTCATAAGGTTTACAAACACAGGCTAGGTAGGTTATTTCATTTTTCATGAATGAAGGGTTTCTTATTAATAACTAATAAGGAAAATTTTTTTAAAAGTATGTTCTACAATGTATTTGTTTTCATTCAAGAGAACAGAAGAGTGGCTGGATTTTGAACAGTGCTCCTTGTTTCTTAACCCCAAATCCTGAGGTGTCTCCTGGTGTTGCAAAATTTCTAAAAAAAAAAAAAAAAGAAATTTTTTTTATGAAATGACAGAGAATCTTTTCCCGATTGTAATGACACCAAAAGAATGAAATTTGATGAAAAACTTAGGGAATTATGCTCTCGCGAAGTTAGCGGTCTCTATTATGTTTACGCATTGGCAATTTCGCCCACTTTGAGCCCTATTTTCGGCCAATTCCAATGTACCAGTCGACAAAAATCATAACTATTTCGCTAGAGCTACATTTTTTCTATCGAATGAGTATAAGAAACCACCCATTTACTGATTTCAACTATCCAATAAAGTGGTCAGAAATTGGCAATTTTGCCAATTTCTAACCACTTGTGTGAAATTGGCAAAATTGCCAATTTCACACAAATTTCAAAAGATGCCAATTTCCAAATAGGGTCCAGAATAAACAAGACAGATATTCCTGGCTCTAAAATAATTTTTTTTCTGTTCATTAGTCACATCCCCAGGCCTCTCTTACATTTCTTTTGCTTTCCACTTTGAATTTTTATTCTCACAAAAAAATAGAAGATTTACTGTCATGCAGACTAGGAAGGTCTTTCACAAACCATCCCACTAACAGAATTGTATTTGCCCAACCCAATTTTCATTGCTTCCCAAACAATAAGCTTTGTTGGTTCTCCGAACCATTCATCTACATTTGATAATTCTGTTCGCTCATGTGGAAGTCCCACTCAAATCAAATCATGTGTGTGGGAAAATACCCTGGCTGGTGTGTGGGGAAGTACCCTGGCTGGTGTGTGGGGAAGTACCCTGTCTGGTTTGTGGGGAAGTACCCTGGCTGGTTTGTGGGGAAGTGCCTTGGCTGGTGTGTGCAGGGAAGTACCCTGGCTGGTGTACATAATTTAGTAGGAACACTGTAGCAGACCTGTTGGCCCATACTAGGCAGGTCCTTCACAAACCATCCCACTAACAGAATTGTATTTGCCCAACCCAATTTTCAGTGCTTAACAAACAATAAGCTTTGATGATTCTGTTCACTCATGCACAAGTCCCACTCAAATCAAATCATGTGTGTGGAGAAGTGTCCTGGCTGGTGTGTGTTGGCAAGTACCCTGGTTGGTGTGTTCTTTCTTGAATTCTGTCGTGTTTATTGCTTTTTTACCAAAGGGGTGGCACTAGGAGCTTTCTTTTGGCCCATGGTGGCTTATTTAGCAGTTGCAAGCACTAAAACGAATGGGATATTACGAAATGTATCGTATGAACGTGTGGGATCATGCTCACTGGCTGATAAACAATGACACACTGACTAATTGGTGTGTCGGGCCGCTCGGACGCATTTGGGACGAATGACTATTACCGAGCTAAATGACGCTCACTGAGCCAATATTTTGACCAAAAAGTTACTACAGTGGACCCCCGGATAACGATATTATTTCAATCCAGAAGTCTGTTTGGGTGCCGTTATAGACCGAATTTGTTCCCATAAGATATTGTGAATTAGATTAGTCCGTTTCAGACCCCCAAAAATACACCTACAAAAGCACTTACAAAAATACACTTACATAATTGGTCGAGTTGGGAGCTGATCGTTATGCGGGGGTCCACTGTATTTCCAAATATTACGAAATCCGATGACTATGAAATCCGGGGGTCTGCTGTACGTTTATTTTCCAGTGTACCTCTTAACCATTTCACTGTCCATCACATAGATCTATGTTATTGACACCAAGGTCCCTTATGTAGATATACATCATGAACTATGACATGCTAAGAGTATGTTACATTTTATCTGGCATATATCACACACCATTATAGGTATGCCTCCTGACCAGTGAACCAGGTGCTAAGGGTTTAACGATCAGGGGCCTCATTGTTATACCAGTACCTTGGTTCAACCAACCAATCACAGGAAAGCCTGCCAAAGCTGTGAAGCGATGTTGTATACTTGTGAAACAGCTTTGGCAAACTTGCCTTCCCTCTTGATCGCTACAGTTCACTGTGTCTTGTGCTTGCATTTGTCTTATTGATCACTGTGTCTTATGTTTGCATTTGCCTCATTGTATATAGCTGTATATACTGTACATAGGCTATGTGCACTGTAAATACCAGCTTATTTTGGTGAAGGAAATACATTCATTTATTCTCTGCTGTCTTTTTACTCGTTTCTAAGTAGTTATAGCAATATGGCAAGTGTGCAGGCCGTATCTACACCTGTGTTTATAAAATGAACTCAACCCACTCAGATAAGCTGTGAATGGTAAATTTTGGTCTAGATGTGAGAGAATAGGTTTGTGCAGTGAGTGTGAACAGTATAAAAATTTTTTTTTGCCTGTCATGGTGCATGATGGGGAAAAAATATGACTGTGTTAGGTTTAAAATAGCGAATTTGAGGTATTTTCTAGGATGGTATTTATGGTTTTATGGGCTGTTTCCAGTGGCTAACGCGACGGTCTGGAGTTTTGAGACTCTCTGACCGCGGGTTCAATCCCGCTCGTGGTATGGTTTGTTTCTTGTTATCGTTTGATAGAATGTAAGATATACTATGGAATTAGAGATAATTTTGGTTGGTTCCAGGACTAGCAGTAGCCTGAAATCAGCCTTAGAGTAACAGAAGTATTCGATTTTGCTGATTTTCCTGATCTGTTTGATGGGTTTTTACTAGGTCTGCACTGTATAGCCCTTGTAGCTTAGCGCTTCTTTTTGATTATAATAATAATTTACTAGGTCTGATTCAGTTATTGGAATACCATAAACTATGACAAATCACTCCTGGTTATATTTTGTCTGAGAAATAGGGTTAATCTTCAATATTTTGATGTGATGGCTTCAAAATGAAAGGCAGGTGCAATATGGGAGAGGCTTGGGAATGGGATTAATTAACAGAGGAAATGTCTAAGTTTTTATTTTGGATTCTGTATTTAAATTGAAATATTTTTAATTTTATGTAAAATTTCAGAAGAATTTTTTTTTAAAGGGGGACACAGAACTTTTAATTTTGGGGGTCTGGACAGTGAAAAGGCTAATAGTTCTTATTCTCTAATATTTTTTTTATATCCTAGGAACCTTGGGAACATGATCTCCAGAACCACTAAGAGAACATGTAACACACTGTGTACCATGCAAAAGGAATGTTTATCACCATCCTCTAGGATAGAGGAGTAAATTTGAACAACCATGTAAATATAAGGTTCCCCATGTTATTAAGAGGCCTTTGTTAAATGGAGACAGGCAGCTGATTGGGGTGGATGGCCTGTGCAGTGAGCAAACAGAGGAAATGCAGGTGTGCAGGAGAGTGTAAACAGTTAATTTACTGGACAGAAAAAGATCTAACTGTGTGTTATTGGTATTAGAGGCTATACTGACAGGTTGCTAATTTTATTACTTATTCATAGAACTTAAAAACTGAAATAGTTTCAAATACTGTACTACAGAGGTTTTTTCATCTTTTTCCAGATAAAAAATATCGTTGTGGATTATATCTGTCATCACTTGCTTCAGCTCTTCATAAAACAGCACGAAGCTTTCACACTACAGTGGTAGAGCTGGAGTACAGACTACTGAGTGATCCACACCTTCCTCTCAGTGAATTGCTGCTTACTCTTCAACCTACAGCTCCATTATTAGCTGCACTTTCCTCACTAGTAACTCAGGTAATTTACTCTCATTTATTCTTCAGTGATGAGAAACCAGTTTTCTTTCTTGTGGTAAGTGATTCTTGAAAGTTATCTTTAATCATATGACACTCCATACTTTTTTTTTTTGCATTGCAATTTATTTTGGCAGTTTATTTTTCTATACATCCATATCTTCTGCATAATGCTTTAACAAGTAAAGCATAAATTGTCTTCAGAAAAAAGAGGGTGATATACTGCATTTAATATTTTTTCACACTTTTGTTATATTTAAAATTGGAAGCAGGTGAAAGGACAAAATTGTGTTGTGGATGCTTGATTACACTAGACAACATAATATATGTTCGGTCTGCTACTGAGATAAATCTAGATGTTCTTTTGTATTGAGCTTGATGATTTCAAATTTGAAGTTGAAATTGAGCCAACATGTCAGAATTTTTAGTTATTGGAAAGCATATTTTTTCAAGAATTGTGTATTTATTAATCATGTTCCATCAAAATTTACAATACAATATAATAATGAGCCATAGAAAACTTACTCCTTGTTATAAAGTAATTGCTAAAGAATGCTTCAAGGACAATAACAACAAATTCTCACTGGAAGTTGAAAATATTAAAAAATGTTTAAAGCATTTGCCTCTAAGCTTGTGACTAACAGTGATTCTCTTTGAAGACACCAACAGTAGTCCCCCATCATATAGGGATTAAAACACCCTTGGTAGCCTAACTCCATTATACTGATATCCTGGTGAAATGTTTTACCATGCTTATTAATAGCATCAAGATTGGATGGAAAGAAGTCAAGATGTGAATGAAGAAATGTCATTTTCAGGGACATACAGCAGTCTAGGTTGGGGCTCTTAGGATATTGACACAGCTTTATCAGGTGATTGTTGCAGTGGAGTGCTCAAGTACTCTGTTATATGCCACTGGCTTGTTTTACCCTGCAGTTCTTTATTCAGCAGATGATTAAGTCTAACACCTGCTCCAGATCACACTTTATGATAATGCTTTGAGATCAATCATGGTTCTTTTCAGTAAACAAGTCTGCAATTTTTCAAAGAATATGCAATGACTCATGTACATTTTGCAGTGTCAGCATCACCCCTTAAGGCTCAGGTTCTTCATCCTCATCGTCTTCTGCTCTCTGCAGCTGGAAATTTAATTCCTGCATTATTTCCTCTGCAGTTGATTGTTGAAGTGGAGTGCTCATGTATTCTGTCATATGCCACTGGTTTGTTTTACTCTTTAGTTCTTTATACAGTGGAACCTCGGCTGTCAAATTTAATTCGTTCCAAATGTCGATTCGACAACTGAAATGGATGACAACCATAAAGAATAATGTAAATAGAATTACAGTGGACCCCTGGTTAACGATATTTTTTCATTCCAGAAGTATGTTCAGGTGCCAGTACTGACCGAATTTGTTCCCATAAGGAATATTGTGAAGTAGATTAGTCCATTTCAGACCCCCAAACATACACGTACAAACGCACTTACATAAATACACTTACATAATTGGTCGCATTGGGAGGTGATCGTTAAGCAGGGGTCCACTGTAATCTGTTCCAGACCTCAGAAAACAATATAATAATTTATTAAAAATTTACTACTGCATAAAACTGTAAAAATGAATACTAAAAGAAACTTTAACTAAAATATTGTACAGAAAATGAAAATTTAACTGCCTCTTACCTGTCAGAGGAGAGCTAATGGCATACTGGAAGCAGGAGGCAGAGGAGAGGAGGAGGTATGCTACTGCTTGGAAGGAGAGTCACCTTCTATTAATGTCAGGCAACTGTCCTTCTGGTGTTGTTTCTCTTCTTTGTCTCTTTTCACTACTAACACCTTGTTCTGGCTCACTGGTTCTTTGTCTCACTAAAAACAAAACCTGTCCAGTGAGGTTTGTTTCAGGCTCTGTTTTAACACTTGTTTAACCCGTAAACAGTCCAAGCAGATCTACGTTTACATGTGTAGTGCTACAAAAGTAGATCTACGTTTTTCTTTACATATTTTCAAATGTAACAAAAAAAAAAGTAGATCAAAGTTTTTTTACACATTTTCAAATGTAAAAAACAAAAAGAAGATCTACTTTTTTTACATACTTTCAAATGTTGAAAAAACGTATATATACGTTTGGACCGTTTACGGGTTAATTGAGACATTACAGTCATTGTACATGTTAGAGAAATGGATAGCCACTGCTTTGTCTGGATGATATTTTTCAGTAAACTCCTGCACTTCATGCCATTTAGCACACATTTCATTGACAAATGCAGTGGGCACATTGTCCCTTCCCTCCTCTTCCTTTGATTACAGCTCCTCTGCAGCAATCTATTGCTGCTCCTTCTGAAGGTCTGCAAGTTGTTCTATGGTGAGTTCAGTTCTGTCCTCCTCCACATCATCTTCAATCACCTCTAGGTCCAAGGTCTTCTCCAGGGACACAATATCCTCTACTGGCTCAGGCTCGTTTTCAAAGCCTTCAAAATCTCTGGCTGCCACAAAGTCAGACCACAATTTCTTCCATGCTGACTGTATGGTCTTAGAAGACACATTTCCCCAGGCTTTGTCTGTATGACTCAAGCAGATGAGGATATTGAAATGGTCCTTCCAGAACTCCCTGAGGGTTAAATTTGTTTCTGAAATGATTTCAAAGCACCTTTCAGAAAGTGCTTTGGTATAGAGTTTCTTGAAGTTATAATTGACCTGCTGGTCCATGGGCTGGATGAAAGGAGTGGTGTTAGTTGCTGAATTTCTCCAGCACCTCATTTTACAAGCTTGGAGGATGAGCAGGAGCATTATCTATAAGTAAAAGGGCCCTGAGTAGCATTTTTTTTTTTAGCCCCAAATCCTGAAGTGTCTCCTGGTGTCGAAGAAAATAAAAAAAAAAAAAATTATTTTTTCTTAGGAAAATGTTAAGATTAATTTTCTAATTGTTTTAAGCCCCAAAACAAATTTTTGCAATCAGTACTTATGGAGATAGTAGGTTGGTAGACAGCAACCACCCAGGGAAGTACTACCATCCTGCCAGATGACTGTGAAACAAAAACCTGTAACTGTTTTGCATGATGGTAGGATTGCTGGTTTCTTTTTCTGTCTCATAAACACGCTAGATAACAGGGATATCTTGCTACTCCTACTTACACTTTGGTCACACTTCACAGACACGCACATGCATATATATATACATACATCTAGGTTTTTCTCCTTTTTCTAAATAGCTCTTGTTCTTCTTTATTTCTTCTATTGTAAATGGGGAAGTGGAAAAGAATCTTTCCTCCGTAAGCCATGCATGTCGTATGAGGCGACTAAAATGCCGGAGCAATGGCTAGTAACCCCTTCTCCTGTAGACATTTACTAAAAAAGAGAAGAAGAAAAACTTTATAAAACTGGGATGCTTAAATGTGCGTGGATGTAGTGCGGATGACAAGAAACAGACGATTGCTGATGTTATGAATGAAAAGAAGTTGGATGTCCTGGCCCTAAGCGAAACAAAGCTGAAGGGGGTAGGAGAGTTTCAGTGGGGGAAATAAATGGGATTAAATCTGGAGTATCTGAGAGAGTTAGAGCAAAGGAAGGGGTAGCAGTAATGTTAAATGATCAGTTATGGAAGGAGAAAAGAGAATATGAATGTGTAAATTCAAGAATTATGTGGATTAAAGTAAAGGTTGGATGCGAGAAGTGGGTCATAATAAGCGTGTATGCACCTGGAGAAGAGAGGAATGCAGAGGAGAGAGAGAGATTTTGGGAGATGTTAAGTGAATGTATAGGAGCCTTTGAACCAAGTGAGAGAGTAATTGTGGTAGGGGACCTGAATGCTAAAGTAGGAGAAACTTTTAGAGAGTGTGTGGTAGGTAAGTTTGGGGTGCCAGGTGTAAATGATAATGGGAGCCCTTTGATTGAACTTTGTATAGAAAGGGGTTTAGTTATAGGTAATACATATTTTAAGAAAAAGAGGATAAATAAGTATACAAGATATGATGTAGGGCGAAATGACAGTAGTTTGTTGGATTATGTATTGGTAGATAAAAGACTGTTGAGTAGACTTCAGGATGTACATGTTTATAGAGGGGCCACAGATATATCAGATCACTTTCTAGTTGTAGCTACACTGAGAGTAAAAGGTAGATGGGATACAAGGAAAATAGAAGCATCAGGGAAGAGAGAGGTGAAGGTTTATAAACTAAAAGAGGAGGCAGTTAGGGTAAGATATAAACAGCTATTGGAGGATAGATGGGCTAATGAGAGCATAGGCAATGGGGTCGAAGAGGTATGGGGTAGGTTTAAAAATGTAGTGTTAGAGTGTTCAGCAGAAGTTTGTGGTTACAGGAAAGTGGGTGCAGGAGGGAAGAGGAGCGATTGGTGGAATGATGATGTAAAGAGAGTAGTAAGGGAGAAAAAGTTAGCATATGAGAAGTTTTTACAAAGTAGAAGTGATGCAAGGAGGGAAGAGTATATGGAGAAAAAGAGAGAGGTTAAGAGAGTGGTGAAGCAATGTAAAAAGAGAGCAAATGAGAGAGTGGGTGAGATGTTATCAACAAATTTTGTTGAAAATAAGAAAAAGTTTTGGAGTGAGATTAACAAGTTAAGAAAGCCTAGAGAACAAATGGATTTGTCAGTTAAAAATAGGAGAGGAGAGTTATTAAATGGAGAGTTAGAGGTATTGGGAAGATGGAGGGAATATTTTGAGGAATTGTTAAATGTTGATGAAGATAGGGAAGCTGTGATTTTGTGTATAGGGCAAGGAGGAATAACATCTTGACAGAGTGAGGAAGAGCCAGTTGTGAGTGTGGGGGAAGTTCGTGAGGCAGTAGGTAAAATGAAAGGGGGTAAGGCAGCTGGGATTGATGGGATAAAGATAGAAATGTTAAAAGCAGGTGGGGATATAGTTTTGGAGTGGTTGGTGCAATTATTTAATAAATGTATGGAAGAGGGTAAGGTACCTAGGGATTGGCAGAGAGCATGCATAGTTCCTTTGTATAAAGGCAAAGGGGATAAAAGAGAGTGCAAAAATTATA